AGTCTTTGATGGCAGCGGCTGCCGCATTTGCAAAGCGTATTGAGGTTCCTGTAGGTTGGCCCAATACCTTTTGTATGATGGGAGCAGGGAAGAATCCATGCACACCAATAGCTACGGCCTTCTTAATACGAGGTGGCGCTGGGTTGATATGCAGATGTGGTGCGGCAGGCTCGCCGCCAAGGAAGTATTGACGGACTTGTTTCCAGAAGCTGGGTTGTTGCACCATTTTATAGGTAGAACCGAATTCGGGCAAAACAAGGTCTGTTGGTTTTGATTTGCCTTTGGCGGCTTGCTTAGGCGTAGGCTGGGCGGCGGCTGCTGATGCTGATTCTGGCTGGATGGGCTCAACCACAGGCGAAGTTTTGGTAGGCGTGGTGGTCTCGCTTGACTTTGGTGTGGCTTTTGCTTCCTTGATAGTTTGCTGTGACTTAGGTCGCCCTCGCAAAGAAGCAAATGATCTCTTCGTGATGGGTTCTGCCTTTGGTGGCGGGGATTCCTTTTGAGCGTCTGCTTTTGACTGTTCTTGCTCGTTGAATTGCGCTGCCTCTGGATGTGATTGAGAGGGTGTGTCCATGACTGCTACTTCGCCCACATGCTTCTGGGCGCCACCTTCAGCTGGCTTGTTGTCGTCTCCAGGACCGCCTCTATACCAAAAAGCCCACGCTGACGATTTTGATGCTCCCTGGGGGGGAGCAGGACTTTGAGTGGTCTCAGCAGACATGGTGGATTCCGTAGTTGAGGCTACCTCCTGCGCAGGTTGTGTCTCAGGGGCTACCCCAGGTGTTGCTTCGGAGATCAGATTCAGTCTCGGAGCAGGGTCGTTTGGTGTATCGCTTTTGGGAACAGGACTGCTTTTGGCGTTTTGTGCACTGCTCCAGAGCCTGAACCACGAACCGCTAGATGTGACTCTTGGGGTTGTGTCGTTGGCAGCAGTGGGCGTACCTGGCATCTCAATATTTTGACCAGATACTGGTTCGGCCGGTGCTTCTCTCATTTTGCTATCCTGCGCCTGCTTATCATTGCTTATTGTCGTGCTTCCAAGCCCCTTGGTGGTCATATCTGGCTCCTCTGAAGGCGTCGGTCCCGGTAACGGGGTGCTCTGCGCATTCTCGACACTATCCTGCGCCGCACTCCTAGCCTTGTTTGCTTCCGAGTACCCATCAGGCCGTGACCACCAGCTGCGCCATGCCCATGTATTCGCTGCAGTATTCGGTTGCCTTTGCGACGGCTCGGGGGGTAGGGGCGGTTCGTCAACGCGACGCTCGTCTGGGTTCTGGGTTTCTTCTGGCTTCGTTGTGGGGGCTTCGTCCACCATTCCACCTGTCGAGACGCTGACCTGTGTTATGGAGGCTGGTATCACGTCGCCCTTACTCGACTTGCGCTTGGTCAGAAACCTCTTGGGTGAGTCGTCTCTCGGTTTCTTTGCTTCGTCGCCAGGCAGCTCACCCGTTGCGCCTCCAGTGACGCCGATGCTCTCGGTTGCTGTCTTGACTATGGCAGGTGCCTTCGATCGCCAACTGCCCGATCCAGACAGCCACTTCTTGCCCTTTGGTGTGTGGGTGCCTGGGGTTGCAGGTGGTGTGGCGCTGCTCGCGGTAGCGGTCGAAGCAGCTAGAGACTTGGCTGAGGGTGCATTTCGGAGGACTTCGCTCGCACTTGGGGTGCTCAAGGGTGGGTTGGCTCCATGTGCATCACCGGCGACGTCTGACCTGGCGCTGCTGCTATCGTCGGCGGGTGCCTCGGCGTTCGGCTTGGACTTCTTGCGTGGAACCATTCCTGTCGGTCGAGCAAACGAGGGGAGCAGGCGGAGAGGCCTCTGTAGCAGCAGGTGTGTCAGCGCATGGCAGACATGTGAATGCGCGCAAAGCTTCTTACCTTCATCCCGAGGTGGCCCAGGCCTGGAGGCGACGGGTGGATGACGTGTGGCCTTGCCCCGTGCTGTCCCAGCGTGCATGAGTCGCAGCCGCCAACGCCAACGGCCTAGCGCTAACAGCCCAGGCCCGCGCGCGCATTCTGCCACCGCCCTAGCGATCCTGTCGGCTGGCCCAAAATTTACTCCGCGAACTTTTGCACGCCTCACCAAAGCGCCGGACCGCAACCATGGCGATTCAAAAGAAGGTGCGCATTCACGCTGTGGCAGACACTGGTTCTGGACTAACCTGAGTGCAGCACGGAAAAGGTCGTCTCGACAAGTGGTACAAACTCGCAAAGGAAAAGGGCTACCGCGCCCGTGCGGCCTTCAAGTTGATCCAGCTGAACAAAAAGTACAACTTCCTCGAAAAGAGCAAAGTCTTGATTGATCTCTGCGCCGCGCCTGGATCATGGTGTCAGGTTGCATCCGAGGTGCGTGGCTACTATAAACTCTTTTCACTTACGACTGCTAATCAATTTGCAGGTTATGCCCGCGGGCTCCCTCATCGTCGGTGTCGATCTCGCCCCAATCAAGGCCATTCCGCGCTGCATCACCTTCCAAAGCGATATTACCACAGACAAGTGCAGAGCGACCCTGCGACAACACCTCAAGCATCTCAAAGCCGACGCTGTTCTTCACGATGGTGCGCCCAACGTCGGTACTGCCTGGGTGCAGGACGCCTTCTCGCAGGCCGAACTCGTGCTGCAGTCCATGAAGCTGGCGACCGAGTTTTTGGCTGAAGGTGGAACATTCGTCACCAAGATCTTCCGCTCCAAGGACTACAACTCATTGCTCTGGGTCTTCAACCAACTGTTCGCAAAGGTCGAGGCTACCAAGCCCCCGTCGAGTCGAAATGTCTCCGCCGAAATCTTCGTCGTCTGCCGTGGTTACAAAGCCCCAAAGAACCTCGACCCCAAGTTCCTGGACGCTCGCAGTGTCTTCGCTGAACTCGCAGACCCCACACCAAACAACGAGGCCAAGGTCTTCAACCCCGAGAAGAAGAAGCGCAAGCGTGACGGTTACGAGGAGGGCGACTGGACACAATTCAAGGAAGTGCCTGTGTCAGAGTTCATCCAGACTACCGACCCTATCGCCATGCTCGGTAGCTTGAACAAGCTCAGCTTCGAGCAGAAGCCCAATGGTGACATCGCTGTTGCGACCATCGACAAGCTACCAGAAACCACCAAGGAAGTTAGAGACTGCTGTGCGGATCTCAAGGTCCTGGGTCGCGCAGACTTCAAGCGCCTTCTTCGCTGGCGATTGAAGGTACGTGACATCTTTGGGTTCTCAGCCAAGAAGAAGGAAGAGGAGGAGAAAGCCAAGGAAACCGAAGCCAAAGAGGGTGACGAGGTTGCAGAGATTGAGGACATGGACGAAGAGATGAAGATCCAGGAAGAACTGGAGCGGCTGAAGGAAAAGGACTCAAAGTCAAGAAAGAAGCAGCGACGAAATGAAAACGAGCGAAAGCAAAAGGAAATCGTACGTATGCAGATGAACATGGCAACACCGTTCGAAATCGGTATGGAACAGGCTGGTCCCGGTGACGACGGCATGTTCGCTTTGAAGGCTGTTGACAAGGCGGGCGCACTCTCAAGGATCGCCAAGGGCAAGATGGGTCAAATCGTTGAGCGCGAGAGACCCGACGAGTCTAGCGAAGAGGAGGAGTTCACCGACGATGAAGAAGATGCCCTCGAACGAGACCTCGATGCCATGTACGGCGACTACGTAGAGCAACGGTCGGCTCGTGACGCAAAATACCGTGCCAAGCGGGCAAGAGGAGAAGACGAAGATGGCGAGTGGAACGGCTTTTCAGACAACGACAAGGACATCAGTGACGACGAAGAGCTTGTTCAAGATGCGGACAGCGACTGGAGTAGTGAGGATGAGGAGGGCCCGAAGACCTTGATTACAGACCTTAATAACGAGGACCAGATGAAGCGGGGTCTTACAAAGCGTGCTGCCCGATTCTTTGAACAGGACATCTTCAAGGGAATTGATGGCTTGGAAGGACTGGATGACATGGAGGAAGACGACGACAGTGGTATCGACGTCGAAGACGATACCGAGATGAAGGACGAGGCTACCCCTGCACCGGAGACAGAGCTCCCCGTCCGCACAACCAAGAAGTCTGTAACGATCCAAGCCCCTCAAGACGCCGACGACTCCTCGGATGACGAAGACAAGATCGAAGAAGTCAAACGCGACGAAACCCAATGGGAGCAGGACTCAATGCCCATGAAGAACGGTAAACCCGACATTGACATCATCACCGCCGAAGCCATGACCCTCGCCCACCAGATGGCCACTGGCCAAAAAACCAAACACGACCTCCTCGACGACTCCTTCAACCGCTACTCTCTCCGCGATGTTGACGGCCTCCCAGACTGGTTCCTCGACGACGAAAACCGACACTCCAAGATGCAGCGCCCCACTACCGCCGCAGCCGCCGCAGCCATCAAGGAGAAGCTCCGAGCCCTCAATGCCCGCCCCATCAAAAAGGTGCGCGAAGCGCAAGCACGCAAGAAGTTCAAGGCTGCGCAGCGCATGGAGAAGCTCAAGAAGAAGTCTGCGCTGTTGGCCGACGAAGAGGGCATGACGGAGAAGGAGAAGGCGCAGAGTATTGCCAGATTGATGAGCAGGGCGGCCAAGAAGAAGCCCAAGCAGAAGGTTAGTGTCATTGTGGCGAGGGGTGGAAACAAGGGGATTAAGAATAGGCCAAAGGGCACAAAGGGTAAGTATAAGATGGTGGATGCGAGGTTGAAGAAGGATGTTAGGGGTGAAAAGAGGGCGGCGAAGAGGAATAAGAAGAGGTAGAATAGAAGTTAGTTTGGCGTAATTGGTTTCAACTTCAGCCATGGTCAACGATTGGAATGAAATGTGGTTTTGAACGCTCGTATACATTCTCTCCTGTTCACCTGTGACACTCTGTATGCAAGTCTTCAGAACTCAGATCTGTTTATCACCCACACACCCAAAAACATACAGATGCACTCGTCACCAAAATTTACAAATACATCAGCTGCATCATCAACATCATCATCGACAAAAAATGACTCAATCCATTTACAACCCCCAAAAAAACACATCACTCCCCCGGAAAGGCTCGAACTTTCAACCTCTCGATAGTCAATATGCAAGTAGAATTAACAGTCGAACGCGCTAGCCAATTGCGCCACGGAGGATGGGATCAGGAGCAAGTGTTTATGCTCGTGGGGCTGTTTGGGACACGTGATTTGAACATTCCACCAATTTATGCCATACATATACATACCTACGTTCCTTTCCGAGGATGTGTGGTTTAGGCGGTCTTGGGGCAAGTTTTGTTCAGGGACCCCTTGGAAAATTTGGACATGGAAGAGAAGGGACTATGTGGGTATGTGGGTGCGGGTTTGGATATTCGAATTTGTGGGTCTTGGGTTCGGTTAATTGAATTTTTCTTTTTTTGGGGGGCTTTTGACGTTGCGGGATAGCGGGAAGGTGGCAAGGCTGAGAGGGTGTATACATTATTATGTTGGTGAGTTATGTATAGATGTGTGTGCCAGCTGCGAACACATTAGCTCGTGTGCCCCCGAGAAGTATGTGATTCGCTATGCATATATATACAAGTCATGAAATGCCTATAGGTATTGCCGGTCATATTCCTCGTGCATCCCGTTGAACAGTGTTTTCCAGGATGATTACTTGCTTTTCTGTCGCTTCTTCTTTTTATCCTTGGGCGTATCATGCGTCTCGATTTTGAATTCTGCGCTGTCGAGATCCAGGACGCCACGGAGAATGCTCTGGGTGATGAGATCTTTGTGGTAGCATGTGATACCGTCTTGCACCAACTTGTCCATTTCTGCATCGCCTTCGTCTTTGGCAAGTACAATGCTATTTCCACCTGTTTCTCCTCTTGGAAGCGTTGTGGTGGTCTTCTTTGCGCCAGCGGCTTTACATACGTGTTCCATCTCGGCAAAGGCATTGTAGGTAGCTTTCAGGCTCTTGGTGAAGTGAATTGTGTAGCCAGTGAATGGCGTCTGTGGCTGGCAGAGGATCTGGTCCAGTTGGATGTTCCACTCCTTTTCCTGCTTGGGAGCTATTGGTATGTATGAGGCGGTATTCAGGAAATGTCCAGCTTTAGCAGATTCAAGCAGCCATTTGTCAGTCACGATTGGAGTACCTCGGGCGATCGCAAGGAGCAGCTTGGGCGTTTTGAGAAGTTCACCATCCCTTACACTGTGTGTTGTTAGCGCACGTGGTCCGAGATCTAAAGGGACAGGATATACTCACCACAGAACGTTGAACGCCTCGTCAACTGACTCAATGAAAGAACCGCCGTGCTTCTTGAGAAATTTCACGGATTGGCTGGCCTTCGTGATGCTCGAATTACTCACTGCGACACAAGGTACCGGGCCATCGTAAAGTGCGCTATTAGGTATTGCGGTATTCGATCGTTGCGAGCTTCGTTGTGATCTCGGCAGAGTTTCGACTGGCGCTTCAAAAATCTCCGACTTACGTTTCTTGCCGTTTGCGACAATAACAGTGTTTTTCGGGCTATCGATACTAATGTTGCTTATGCGACTGTCTTGGGTGTCATTTTGATCTTCTGTATCTCTTTTTGTGCGCTTAGTCGATCGACTGCCACTTCCCTTGCCGCTCTCAAGGTCAATGTTGTCTGCAGCCGGACTACCGCGTTTGCGAGATGACCTGTGTGGGATCTCAACTCGGGGAGAGCTCGTGGTCGGGGGAGGCGAAGTCTTAGTGTGCGCTGTAGAGTACATCTCCGCGTCCACTTCCGCGGAGTCCGTGACTCCTGATGATGCTGCATCACCTGCTGAAGCAGAATCGTCTTCGTTAGTCTCAAGACCATTGGAAGCCTCCATTGTTCCTACAACTCGATCTGCAGTGGGAGTTTCCTGAACCACTATCGATCTCTGATTTGAGAGACGGGGAACTGGAGTAGCCTTTGGTGGAAGAGAGGCCATGGCATCCTGGGTAGCTTGATCCAGATTTTCATCTTCTGTCTCGCTTTCAGTTCTTGCAGCGTTGTCATTCTGAAATGAGGGATCTGCCGCCCCTGCGTCTGCAGCCGAGGAGTCGACCTGCACCTCTGCAGCAATCCACTTGCAGGTAAGGCTAGGCACTTGCCTTGAAAAGCGTATCACATCGCTGTGACGCAATATGATTATTTCGGATCGCTGCTCAGAACTAGGTTGCAGCTCGTAATGTATAGGTTGGGGGTCTCTGGCCGAAACGGCAATGATTGGAGCATGAGGATGACTTGGGACAATAATCAGAGGTTCTCGAACAGCCTCGAGCTTCACTCCCCAAGGGCCGACGGCTACTATCATTAGCTCGTCAGATTGTTGCAGAAAGTGAATTCACCTACTAATGCGGCCAAGCTCCACCTGCCCTGGGAGTTGACGCAGCGTGCGAAGAACCCCAATGACGGGCCCGGTCACAAGAACATGAGCGGAACCCTCTTTTGGCAGATCGAAGTTCTCTAGGCCTGTAGCACTGAGTGAAGTCAAGGTCCACATGGTCGTGTTCTGCGTGGACGCGTCGAGGCTGACATGGATGGTGATGCCCTCCAACGCGCTGTCACGAGCGAGCATGAGTACGCTAACAATGACGTGCAGATGGACAGGACGCTAGTCTGGATTGGAACCGGCCGAACTGGGGCCGTCGACGCGTCTTCCCCTCTACAATCGACCAGGCACAGGTAGCCAAAGATACGGCCTGATCGCATAGTCGTGGCCCGTATAATCCACCGCAATGCTATGACGCTTTCGCCGTCTGATTCGATCCCGAGATGCTGGGCACAAGCGCGTTCGAGCGAAAGGTCTCGGGGCCTGGACTCCACGAGCCAGAGAACAATACTAAGGATACTACGCTACACCATCACAATCACCCATAGACACGCAAATGGCAAGTTCAACGAGTCTCGACAATGCATATGAGTCAATTTGTGACGGGCAACAATTGCACAGACGACTAAACGCAGCGAGCCATTCGTTAGTGGTGAGCCTGGTGCCTGCTTCGACCAGAATCCCGAAGCCGCGGAGGTGAAGGGACCAGGAACAATAGCAAGAGGTCATCACTGTCTCAGGCAGGTCGACTTATGCTGCACTTCTCCTCAGCTGAAAAAGTCAACCAAGTCATCCATGTCTGAGCAGATCATTACATCTGGGCTTACTAGCTATTGTTAAGACTCTGGGGCAGCGAGTATTGTTCCCTACGCGTGGGCAGGACCTTTGCAGTACTACTTTCCCATCTTTGTTGCTACTTTATTTACCCTCTTCAACCTCTCGAATTCTCCTACTTTCCTGTAACTACTTGTCTCGACCCTGCAAAGCACCTTCCTCGGCAATTACTGTGACCTGCTCTTTCTACTTCTGCCAAAGGCAGCCACCCGCTCCCTCTGGGCTTTCTCCAATCGACAACACTGGACAGCACCTCGAGACACGCCGGTTCGTCACAGCACCTCATTCCCATTTCCAGCCATGTCGCCAACCACCGATCCGTGGAATCAGACCTTCACTATTATCGATGCAGACGGTAACAGCCAGGAGGTCCACATGGCCCAACTCACCCAGTTGCAGATCTACATCACGCAGTCTGCCATCAACTATGGTGCCCAGTTTGGAGCATCCATATTGCTCCTGCTGGTTCTCCTCCTCTTGACAAAGGCGTCGAAGCGGAGGTCATACATTTTCCTCATCAACGGCTTCTGTCTACTGGTCAATGCCATTCGCTGCGTCCTCCTCGCATGCTTGTTAACTGGCAACTGGTACAATCCATACACCCAAATCATGGGCGACTATAGCCGCGTTACAAACTCCGACAACGCCACATCGATCGCTTCCGTACTCTTGACTCTGTTGATCGCCTTCCTGGTCTTCATGTCGCTCGGTCTACAAGTCTGGGTAGTCTGTGTCACTACACAACCAATCCAACGAGGCATTGTCATGGCGTTGACAACCCTTGTGGGTGTCATTGCAGTCGGTTATAGGTTCGCTCTGGCTATCTACAACATCAAGGCACTGCTCACACAGACGGGAATTGGCTCGAACGCACGCCTTGTTTCGGACTGCTACATTGTTCAGGCTGTCGCCATCTGGGTCTACAGCTGTGTGTTTACGTACAAGCTCGGATATGCTATCTTGCAACGACGCCGCCTAAACATGCCCCAGTTTGGACCGATGCAGGTCGTGTTCATCATGGGCTGTCAGACCATGGTGATTCCAGGTAAGCCACATAAAGGCCACTGATCTAGCCCTCGCTAACATCTTTGCAGCCATCATGACTAGTCTTCAGTTCGTACCCAACCTTCCCGAACTTGGCAATGCGGTCTTGACCATCGTCTGCATCTTCCTCCCGCTTTCCGCAATCTGGGCTGGAGTCGAACACGACTCCGGTATCGCGAGCAGTGGCCCTGACTCTCACCACCGACTCTTTGGTAGCGAGTTCTACAACTCTACTGCTCACAGCGTTGGCACTAGTAGTAGCACCGCTTACGACAAGAGTCGACAAGTCAGCATCTACACCATCCCTAAGAGCAAGGACAGGGACATTGAGAGCATGAACATGACTCCCAAATCCTACAAGAGGAGCCATATCGACCAAGGCAGCGTCCAGGCTGATCCGGAGTATGGCCCCTCAGGTGAAAACGCCGCAAATTGTCATTGAATTCCTTTCGCGCACACATGCACGGTCGAGACTCATGGACTGCTGCCTTTATTCGGGTTCGTGTTTCTCGCTAGGTCAGTGTGATCATTGGGTCACACATGAGGTAGGCATATAGCCAGCGAGACCAAGAGTTCGACTCAGGGTCTTACCAAATGTGTGCCGATGCCGATCTACCATGAGCTTTGTTATACATACTCATTCATAGCCACCTTCGGCTTCTTCTTCTGTCGCAGATCTAGCTTCCTAATAGGACTTCACAATATATCCAAATTTAGCCACTTTTTCATTACATTTTGAATCTATCGTGGGTGGATCGTAATTACCGTAACATTCGATGCGTAAAGACCCAGCTCCATACGTACAGACTGTGCCAGCATGTAGCTCTCAGATGTCTATCCGCCAGGCTTGGGTATGTCACCCTTCAACACCCCTTCAAGATCTGTATCTTCTTTCGGCTTCACTGGCGCGACATAAGGCACAGTACTCCCCTCATCATAGCTCCCATAGCTCTTGC